TTTAACTATACATCTAAATGTCAATTTGAATTATAATTTAAACCACACGGTTTGAATTTTTATGTTCAAACATAAAAGTTTAAATCAACAAAATTCGAATCAGCAAACAAAACGGGGATGAATCTATTTCTTAAAAGCCATGTGCATATAAAATAGAAGCTTTGAAATCTTCCATTTTTGAAATTTTGAAAGCAATCGTAGCTCTTTGGTTTTTTGGAGAGTGATGATTTTCTAGTCAGTTAATGAAGAAGCGTAGGGACCAGCCACTGTGTTAGATCTCTAAGTGGACGTTTGGTTCATGGATTCAGAACCACAATTCAGAACTATTCTCATTTTACGTGTATTTTTTGTGAAAAAAAAACACGGTAAAAAACTATAAATCATGATTCAGAATCAGAGACGAATACATGAAACAAACGTCCTCTAATCAATCGGTCCACAAATCGCCTTTCAAAAAGTCTTACGATGTTCCGCTTGTCGAACTCTAATGCTCACGGTGTGTGAGGATTACGAGAACTCTCAGGAGTTGTTCTTTTGCAACAAAACTCAGAAAAAGTTTAAACTCAAGTTACAACTTTATTCAAGTTCACGTTTTTTTAAGTTTTAACTTTATTCAACTTTACTCAACTTTATTCAAGTTACAACTTTAACTCAAGTTATAACTCAAAAACTACACTCAAGTTACACTTCAAAAGAACAACCCCTCAGAAGATTCCACAACCTACACTCATAAATAAACGTTAAAGAAAACAAGAGAGACGAGAGAAGAAGAAAAATATGTAGTGATATTTCTCTGATCAGATATTTAAGATGTGTATGTTGGATAAGTTAGTAATTTGATATTTGACTCGTCATTCAAATATCAGTTTAAGTGGTCCTATCTACTAACTGATAGTAGAGAAGGGATATGATATCCACACAATTTGAATTGGTCAAGCCCACTATAGACGCCCTAAAAACAAGGTCACGCCCAAGAGTTCAACAATTTGTTTGACTATAAAATGAATTTCTACAATTGTGGCACATCTTATGGGAATATTAATACTAATTAACAATTTAAATTAAACGGTGCATGTGATATAAGATTAAATAACATGAGAGAATTTTTTAACTAATGATTTAAAATGAAACGGTGCATATAATATAAGATGAGATAACATGAGAGAATTGCTTATTAAATAACATTATTGCACCAACTTCATAAGCACATGATCACAGTAGAATTCCCGTTTTAAAACGGTAGAGTTTATTATGCTAACAAAAAATAAATCAATAAATAAATAAAAGTCCTGCGTGGTGTTTGGACAAATATGGACACTGTTGGTGTGTGGGTTGTGGCAAAATGCATCATGAATAGGAAAAGATATATTATATATATATATATATTTTACGAGCTCTCTTGTTAGGAAATGAAATCCCATTACATTGTTGTTGTTTGTCCATCCGCCAAAAAGTGTCACCATCCTATTAACTCAATTGTCGTAGACTCCATGGCTATAACCTATAACCCATAAAATAATGGGATGCCACTTTATGACTTATTAAAGGGAGAAATAAAGAAATAGGTCAAGACTTGAGACGAATTAAAATTAATAGGTCAATAGTTTATATAAGTTAATAAATAAGTTAAATTACTGTTTTCATCAATAACTTGTCTGGTTATGAACCATAACTTGACAAGTTATTGTCCATAACTTATCTGGTTATAAATCATAACTTGACAAGTTTATCCATAACTTATCTGGTTATGAATCATAATTTAACAAGTTATGGCCTATTAATTTCTATAACTAAAAAATGGCCTATATACTTTCTTAAGCTTTTCATATTGACATATTTCCTACTATTTCCTCTTATTAAATCCAAGCTTTGGAGAGTAAAAGAGTTTGTTTAAATTAATACCACCCAATGAAAACGCAATGAGTATTATTATCATGACTCACCTAAACGTCTTTACAAGGGCTAAAATTATTGTTTTAATTCTCCCTAGGCCACAACCAATATGACTTACTGGAACCCTATATTTAACCATACATGTATCACCATATATTTCTCACGAATCATGAAGACTTTTTGCACTCATTTCATGGTGTGTTTTATGTGACAAGATATTTGGTACAATGTGAGAATTAACAAATCCTAGATTAATATTTATTATTCCTATTTGTCTGTTTATATTGTTGCTTTAATTAACCTATAAACACTTCCTCTATAATTTGTATAATGACATAATACAATATGAGAAGACAGTGACGGAGTCAGTATTTCATTTTAATAAGAGTGTACATTAAATTTTTAATAAAATATATTTATTTTAATAAAAACATATATTATTTCAATAAAATTTTAAGTGTAAAATTTTAAAATTTTTAAAAATAATATTTTTTTAAAAAAATTTAAGTGAAAACGGTAATCTCTACTCAACCTCATGCAGCTCCGCAGCTGTGGGAAGGTGATGGGGTAGGAGCGTTGTACCATGCCTTTAGCTCTTGTAAAGTAGGTGATGATGACGTATCTTTATTTATTTATTTATTTATTTTTTTTAGGAGGGGTATCTTTATTTCAAGCCCACCCAGATTCTATTTTTCTAATTAGATAATTGCCATTTTTTAAAGTCAAAGGACCTTATAATTATTCTCTAATCACTCAACTAAACAGAAGTTATGTCTCATTCAATTTTGGTGCCGTCATTAGTTATGATCTGGGACCCCTACCCTCTTTTTCGCGCTTTTCCCATTTGGATCTGTTTGTAGCTATCGTGGGCCCACCTGAAGGAGCGTGTAAAAGGGCCTGAATGGGCTTGACGTTACTTTACTCCGTCAAATCTGTTTAGTGGGCTCTTGACATCCACGTTTAGTTTCCAAGATGGGCCCTACAGTTACAGCAAAGCCTCATTTTTACCCCCTTTTTTTTATTATTTTATTTATTTATTTGTGCGTATTTTTGTTGACAAATGAGCGGCATGCAAGACTTGCGCACAAAATATGGCTAACTTAAAAGTGAAAAATATATTGCGTATTTAGAATTTATTTTAAAATAATTTTATTTTTTTATATAAAAATGCAACTGAAAATGAAACTTGAAATCATAATTTGAGAGTTAATTTGTAACGTTACTGTTGAAAATTATTTAAGCAATAAAAATTTGACCGGTTAATCCATACACTGATTGTTGTCAATTTTTTGATAAAATTTGGTATGCCTAAAATATTACTCAAACCTCCATTGTCATTATACATACTATTATACTAATATAGTTCTAATTTTTACTCAAATGGAAAAAATTAACTAAAAAGTAATTAATAGAATAAGGGAAATACAAAATCCCAGGAGGAATTTGGTAATAAGCACTCTTCCTTTTTTAAGGAAATTCAGTAATAAGTTTTCTCCTTTTCTTTCTCTCACCTTATAATAGAATATAAATATGGTTCGTATTAATGATTTAAAAATGTGATTACCAGACATGAAGATAAAACAAAACAAATTAAAAAGACAGACCGTAAAGCATGCATTTGAAAGTGATTTTGTTTTAGCCAGCATATCTTATATCATAGGCAGTAAATTTTTTCTAAGAAAGATTAATAATGGCAAGTTTCCTAAATAAAAAAATGGCACGAATGTGATTTAAAGGCAAGGCGTTGGCTGGATCTAAAGTGTATCTATTAATCATCCACGTAAGCGGTTTACCTTTCCATTTCACACTTCCTTTTTTTATTACATTATCCATCATTTGCAATTAGTCAATTTACCTTCCATTTTAAAACTTCCACATGTTTACATTTTCTTTCCACAGCCTATATATATACTATTTTTTTTTTCTTTCGTTTGACTTTTACTTAGTTTCGAAATTTCATAACGTGCCAAGTCCACGAGTGAATTAATCTAATAAATATACACATATATTGTAAAATAAAATAGGGCAAACTTCTAAACGAGCAAGGCCTTGAGAAAATCAATTTCTCATTTGAAACAAGCACTTTTCCCTCTAACAAAACAGACTGGACACTGCTAAAACAAAACAAATTAGGTGAGGTTACTTGTAGAAATAAGCCAAACTAGTCAAAAAATATATTTTTTTTATTACAGAGAATGAAATAAGTTGAACCCTTTATAATAGAAAAGAAATAAAGGTTTAACTTTTAAGCTTATATGCAAATATTCAACACACTTAACCAAAACAAACTTGTATAGTAAAATAATTATGAAAAAAGAAAATAATTCGAAAAAAGGAGTAAAGAAAATGAGGGAGGGAAAACATTGAAAAACCAAATGTATATCTACACCTCTAGATATGAACCTATTGCAATGTGGTGGTGGTGGTCCATGCATCTTAAAATTATCAATATTCAAAACCTACGTATCATAAAAAAAATTCAAAGGAAAATCCAAACACTTGTTTAGGTTCTTTCAAAATCAAACCATAAGAAGTTTTTTTTTTTTTGGGTTAATAAATCAAAACATAAGAGCACAAGACAAAACCCACCCATCAAATTAAATACCCTTTCTTAAGATAATTCAATGCGCTCAACAACCATCAGACGATTCAAAACGATTAATCATTGCCATCGGACGGTCCACAATCAAACCATCCGATAACAACAGGACATCACCGGACGCTCCTAACCGCAGGGAGAGTCAGGTCAAAATTTGACACATCGGCGACAATTGGACAACAAAAAAGAAGAAGAATTGACTTTGGGGCGTGTGAGTGGAGTGAACTGGAAGCACCAAAAAAAAAAACATTAAAAAAAAAAAACATTCAAAAAAAAAAAAGAGAACACAGACAAGATGAAATGACGAGATTACCCTTGACTGGGCCTTTTTGATTCAAACTGTGTACCCGTCCCGCTCTCTCCTCTTATTGCATCTCTTCTCAACGCCTTACACGCGTACACTTTTCTTCCTTCCTTCGTCACTCTCTTAAAACTCTTTTTCTGGAACCTTTTTCCTTCCATCATTTTCTCTTCTCTTTCTCACAAAAAGACTCTCTCTTTCCCATTTCTTTCTTTTGCTCTCTCTGGTCCGCCATTTGAAGGTTGCGGAGCTCCTGAAACAGAGTAAGCTCAGCTATTTCCGCACAGAACCGCACTTTTTTTTTGTCTTTCTTTTGGTGTTTTGTTTTGCATTGTGAGTGTTCGAACGCCGTCGTTTCGGCGCAATGCCGGTTCGAGATCGGCGGGTTCTTGAAGCTTCGAAGTTCACGAGTTTCGCTTTGCAGATCTGCAATGCCGATTCTTGATTTTTTTAGGCTTTTTATTTTATTTTATTTTTACTCCTGGTTTTGAAAGATATTTGTTCGACAAATTGGGACATTTTGTTTTTTGTATTTTTTAAAATTTGTTTGCTTTTGAGTTTAGTGCGTTTTCAGGTGCCTAGGCATTTGGCTTGAAATTTTGGGGCCTGAGTTTTCAGAAAGTTGGTTCTTTTGGGTTTATGTGTGGTTTAAGGTGTTTGGTGCTATAATAGGTGGAATTTTGGGGGTTACGGTTTTGGTTTAATGTAATGCAGTGATTCTTTTCCAAAGCCTTGTCTTGATTTTTAATGAATTTTATTTTAATTCTAGCTATTTTCTGTTTGGTTGCTGAGAAAATGTGTGAAACTAGAAGGAAGGATATATTCAACGTTTCTTTTCATTTTCTTGGTAATCGAGTGAAGACTAAAATGACTAGTTAGATGGATTCTTTCTTGGCATATTTGATGTGAGTTGGTGGCTTTTTTTATTTTTTATATTTTATTTTTTAAAGAAAAAGTAAGAGAGCTACGGGCTTTAACACATTTATTATTGACTACGTTTTCTCAGCTTTACCAAAGGTGACGAGAAAAATAAGCTAAACAGAAGGTGAAATTTTGTTGGGAAATTTTTGTGTCTTCGAGAGTTAAGGAGAATTTTAACTATATTATATTAAATCTTTTTTTCCTGGGGTTGTATAGTCAACTGGTTGGACTAAAATGTGCAAGTTTATTTCCTTCTCAGTGTTCTTCTAGTCATTCAATGACAGATCAGAACGCTTTGAGGACGATCTAAATTAAAGGGGGCTCAAGTTTTTGTGGGGTTGAGACATTGCTATAGAGAAATAAGGTTTGCCTACATTACATTACCTTTTTGCCCGCTTATTCGCTACAATCCCATTCAAAAGTGTTTAACATTCAAAAGTGTTTGACATTAAAAAGATATTGGCAGTGCAGGTCCAATGAAAAAGGTTTCAATTTGAAATCAAGCATTGCTCTTCTGTGGGGCATGCAAGTATGAACAAAGAAAACACAAATGCTGCCAACTTTGAAGCTCCTCTGGCCCGGGTTACACGAGCACGGGCTAAAGCCTTAGGCACATCTGGTGGGATGCCCCCATCCTCAAAACCTTTGCAAGATCAGAAGCGTGTTCTTCGAGTGAAATCCAAAAGATCGGCGTTGGATGAAAATGGGGTTTCTGCATTCGCCACTGCTAGCTTTCAGCATAAGAGACGGGCAGTACTTAAGGATGTAACCAACATCTCATGTGAAAATTCAAAAGTCAACATCATTGGTGCAACAAAAGTTGAGGTAAACATGTATGCTCAATGTTTAGTTGTACCTGAATTTGCGAAATTTGAACTGTGGAAAATTTCATTGGAACCTGACTTTTCTAGAATATGACCATTATCCATGATCCTGAATGCTGGTGTATGTTGAGACTGTTGTTGACTAATCTGAACTTGGTTCTGATGGCATTGCTCCTCGATAGAAATCAAGAAGAGATCTTTCGAAAAAGAACGCAAAGGTGGGCACCAATGTCTCTGTCAGAACTATACCTGTTCAAGAGGATGCAAAAACAAAGTTAGCGGAGGAACTGTCCAAAATAAAGGTGGCAGAATCAGAGGAGCTCACTATGCCAGCGAATCTTGGGAAACGTGTGCAAGAACCAAACTCTAGACAACATCTTGTTGTAGAAAAGATTCAAACCACCAAAAATAAAGGTCACTCTTCTGCTTTATACTTGTGTTACCTTGACAGCAGGTGTTAGGTTTGTTCTAGTCAACTTAAATTTTGGAATTAACAATAGTTAACATGGTGGCAAAGACTTAATTCTTGACTTTTTCTTGTATTTATGTGTATTGTGTTGGTCTGATCCATACTGTAAGGTTTTCTTTTCATTTAGCTTTTGGAATAACTGTTGCTTAACAGTTTTGCATGGATTATGCAGAAGAAGATATGGTTTGTGAGAAATCGATAGTAACAAAAGATCTGGACGTTGTAGACATTGATTCAAACTTGAAGGATCCTCAAGCCTGCAGTTTGTATGCCCCTGATATATATGATAATATACGCATTACAGAGGTTTGTCCTGTAGCTAATATTATTATTTAGTACCTGTTGAATTTGTTTAGGACGAAATAATCCGTCATTATTGTTATTTTTTTAATTGCATCCTCAAATAATATTCATTGAACTGCAACTTATACGCTTGTTAGAAACAAGTTTTCCGAATCAGGAGAAAGAAAAATTGAACTGGTGCTTTAAAATGAAAGAATCTTTAGTACACTTTACCACCTATAAGTGACATTATTGAAGCGAACTTAAGCAAGAAACTTTCCACCTCAGCTAGAGCGAAGACCATCTATTGATTACATGGAAGAGTTGCAGAGCGATATCAGTCCAAATATGCGCGCGATTTTGATTGATTGGCTTGTTGAGGTAGTATCATTTTTCCTGCCATATTTGCATTCTTGTGCTTAAGACGAGTATTATCTTGTTGCTTATTATAAGCAATTTTATCACTTTAGATTGACAAAGATAGCTTCTATTACAGAAAAAAAAAATGGTTACAGATATCCATTCTTTTTTGTTAATGTTTTATGATCCATGGAAAGGTAGAAGCTACAAAAATATTGAGATTGGTTTTCTACAAGGTTAATTGGGCAGATTTTGACTTACATGAAAGAAATCATATCGCTAATTACTTTTTTTTCCCCCTCTCTCATTCCAAAGGACAAGAAGTGTACTCTTGTTGTTCTCCCATATCGCTTTAGTTTCCTTTTCAACCTATCATGTAGCTTGAAGCATTGAATGCTGCCCTGCAGGCCGCATTTTCTTGACTGATTGGCTGCCGTATTTCCCGTTGTAACATATATCTCATCTTTCAGGTTTCTCAAGAGTATAAGCTGGTTCCAGATACGCTTTACCTAACAGTGAATCTGATTGATCGTTTTCTCTCACACAAACATATTGAAAAACAGAGACTCCAACTACTTGGTGTTACTTGCATGCTAATTGCCTCGTAAGTTCTGTAGTAGATTGTTGTGTAATTGGAAAGATGATTTTTTGATTCTCATACCAAGGACTCAACACAAAAAAGAAATACTCATTACTTGGTCATTCTGGATTTAGATGGTTTCTATGATGCTCTGTGGAGTTGGTGAGTATGACGGTGATAGGACTTGGATAATAGTTTTAGATTTATGATAATAATTGCATAAATTTGGGAATTTTTATTGACGTAGTCATCTGAACTAGCTCAGTGGGAGTGTATGACATAACCTGGTAGATGTTATGCTGCTAGGGTTGACTACTGAAACTCACGTTGCTTTATATGTTAGGTTAAACAAAACTGATTGGGATATAAGTTTAGGGCATTCTAAATGCTTTTGGCCGTCACTTCAGCACTAGATGTCATGTATTTGTAGGGGTGGCAATTCGTGTCATGTGTCGTGTTTTGATCGTTTTTTTAAAATTTTCAGTCAACCCGAACACGACCCGTGACACGAAATTTTTTAAAAACTACGACACGAACACGCCACGAGCTGACACGACACGACCCGAAAATGACCCGTGACACGAAATTTTTTAAAAACTACGACACGAACACGCCACGAGCTGACACGACACGACCCGAAAATGACCCGTGACACGAAATTTTTTAAAAACTACGACACGAACACGCCACGAGCTGACACGACACGACCCGAAAATGACCCGTGACACGAAATTTTTTAAAAACTACGACACGAACACGACACGAGCTGACACGACACGACCCGAAAATGACCCGTGACACGAAATTGACCCGTGAACCCGAAATTGACACGAAAATTGTATACTTTTATTTAGTTTTTTACATATTAGAAATAACTTAAAATTCATAACACACTAAATTACAATAACATCCATTGAAATTAAGCAAATAATAGTATAAGATTTTGAGTATAACTATCATGATATCACAAGTTCATAATAAAATTTATAATAGTATAAGATTTTTACGAGTTTCGTGTTGTGTTCGGGTTAGGCGGGCCCAACTCGAAATTGACCCGTATTTTTCGTGTTAATTTCAGGTCGACCCAATTCTGACCCGAACCTCTTTTTTCTCAACCCTAACCCGCAAAATTCGTGTCGTTTTCGAGTCGTGTCGTGACCCATATTGCCGGCCCTATGTATTTGTTTCTATCTTAATACTGAAGTCTAATGCTTGCTTCTTTTCCGTTGTGACTCATAGAAAATATGAAGAAATTTGTGCACCGCGAGCAGAAGAATTTTGCTTCATCACAGACAATACCTACACAAGAGTAGAGGTATGCTCTACAATTTCCAACAAATCGTTGATATCTTCTCATTTCTTGGCGTGCTCTTGTCAGTCTTTTGGTTTGTGGTACAGTTTAAATTTCAGATAATTGAAAAAAGAAAAAAGTTGTCCATTTTGCATGAGACTTTCTATTACTTATCTCGTTGACTTAATCCCGAGGCAAACGTTAGGCTTTGAGGCGTATTCCTTGTTTGAATTTTATTGCTATCCCACTAGTGTCGTGCAAAGATCATACTTGGAGTTACACTTACAAGGTTATGCTTTGTTCTTGATAAAATTCGCAGGTGCTGAAAATGGAGAGTGAAGTTTTGAATTTCTTGCACTTTCACTTATCTGTGCCGACTACAAAAACATTTCTAAGGTAATGTATTTTGTCTTGTACTTTAATAATCTTGTTTTAAAACGCTATCCAGAGCGGAATACCTAAAACTAATTTTGGTTTTCAGGAGATTTGTTCAAGCAGCTCAATCTTCGTATGAGGTATTCTAAATGGTCTTTGTTATAGTTGGTTTAACTTCTAAAATCTCACTTTAATACAAAAGTAGTAATTTCCTCGTCAATTACTCTGTTATACAGGTTTCTTGTATCGAACTGGAGTTTTTGGCAAATTATTTAGCAGAGTTGACTCTTGTTGATTACAGCTTCTTGAAGTTCTTACCTTCACTCATAGCTGCCTCTGCCGTGTTTCTCGCCAGATGGACGCTCAGTCAGTTAGAACACCCATGGGTATGCAATTATGTCTCCTCCTTCCATCAGCTTAGTGTGTGTGTGTGTGTCTGTTTTTTTTTTTTTTTAAATTTATAACTCGTATTCCTTTCGTGAAAAAGTATCTGAAACATTTCATGCACACTTGCAGAACTCTACTTTAGAGCACTATACCAGGTACAAGACGTCGGAGCTGAAAACTACAGTTCTTGCCATGGAAGATCTGCAACTAAATACCAATGGCTGCCCCCTTAATGTGATTCGAGAAAAATATACACAGCAGAAGGTAGCTAAACATCCACATTCTAGTTGTCTGCATCTTGCAAGAGCAATTGTGATATAGTACATCACCTGTTTGGTATTGTCATTGAGACTTGAGTGAGATAAAATTCTCTATGTTAAAAACTTAAAACAAAGCGAACCCGAATTAGAACTGTCATACTTTCCAGGAATCGGTGATATCTTTTATAGTCCCCAAGATCTAATTTTCTGTGTGTACTCTTATCATGCAGTTCAAGTGTGTGGCGAATTTAACCTCAATAAAACCAGTCGGATCACTATTCCAAAGATCAGAGTAGTTAATTCTCAAAGAAATTAGTCAAGATAACTACTGGTTTGGAACAGCTCTTTGGCGTCCGGAACTTCAAAGCTCTGCCGGATCTCCAATAATGAGAAAATTTTTAACCTTTTCAATCTATCTAACTCGACCCTTGTGGCTTGTTGTAACGGCTTCTGGTAGTTTCCAGATCTTCCCATTGTAACCTCATTCTTTTAGAGCATGACACATTTTAAGCCAGTAAGCATATATAAATTCCCTGTGACTGAATAATTAATTCCTTCAAATAGTTGTGGCTCCTCAGGTCCCAACCAATATTTATGCGCTCAATTTTGAGTTCGCCAAATGATAATGTAGCTACTCAAAGATTATCTTGTATCCAGAACTCTAACATAGTGAGAAAAAAAAAATGAAAATAGTTGATCGTTCATATTACGGATCTTTTTTTTTTTTGGGCGCTTCCTTCAATCCCTTGCACTGATTGTTCGTAAAGTGAGATGGGGCTAAACTTGTAGCTTTGGCACTTGACAACATTACATTAGTTGAGCGGGCGCATTACCCACTACAATTTATTTTTGTTTGAAATATACACACACGTATATGTATTTTATAAAGAAAATAAATGGGATTTATTTCATAAATAGTCCAACTTTATCATCAATCTTATTTTGATTCCGGATTTTTAAAAAATCCTAAATTTACTCCTGAACTATTTGTTTGCTTTAATTTTCAATTTCATTAGTAGGAACGTTTTAAAAGTTGGTGATTAAAGTGGGATTAGCATCAAAATTTAATTATCATTTTTAGAATTAACCTAAATTGATATTAACTGGCCATCTTATTTAATTTACACAAAATGCGGAGTTTCTTTCTCTATCGTTTTTATGTTTTGTTTCGTTTTTCTAAGCAAAATTCAATTTTACAAAAACAAGTTACATATACATAATTAGCCGCAAATGACCACTCATTATAAGGGAATTCGACCTCAACCATTGACTAGATCCACCAGTAAAAAGACAGATGAAGCACAAAGGGCGAACACAAGCACCGAGACCTAATGGGAAAAAGCCCGCTCAGCACATAAAAGTTGAGCATGACAAAGCTCATTTGCAAGAAACATTATAGTTGATACATTATTAAACCAGTCAACTGAGACCAAACTCCAAAGAATGGAGCATAAGCAATACGACATATATACACATCTAGTCAGACATCATCATCCACACCGTCGGTAGACAACTCAAACGGACAGGACAAAACAACAAACTCGAAAGGTGGAGAAATCACTACATCTGTTACTGGAAGAAACATAAACTCATATGCGAAAATAATGCCGTTATTACACATACTAAAATTATAAAACAAAAGGAAAAGAACTCCAGACACCGTCGTCAAAAGCCTCAGGCGACGGGGCAACAAGCGAAGGAACCATCAAAAAAGGCGGTCGGCTTCAAGAGACCCCGTAATGAAATCAAAATGGCACTGCCAAATAGGAGCATGTGAGTAGCACCCGCCATTGCCGTCATCGCTGGAAGGAGAAGCCGCCACCACCAAAAGAAGACTGCCGCCATGCGAAAGAAAACCCTACAAGATGTCAGCCATCCAGCCTAATCGTGAGGCTTCTAAGCTCCCTTTAGGTTTCGATCCACCCAAATGAAACTGCCCCGCAACTCACCACCACCACCGAGAAGCCCACGATGAGACAAGTCGGAGGACCAAAACTCAAGATCAGGAGCCTGGCGACATGCCTGCCACCTGAGCTCCGGCCAACAACTGCACTCCAAGGACGTTTAAGAGAGAGGAATAGGGGAAACACATGAGAGGAATAGTGAATCCTTTTCCCTTTTTTTTAAGGGAAACTGAAACATAGCAGTACTCGGCTAGATTAGCTAAAATAGTAGAGGCTATGAATAAAGGGACAACCTCAATACCCCAAACATCCACAGAACTATGAAACATTGAGGGGTTGTTTGGTTGGGGGATTCGTGCCCCGATTCGAATCATAGTTCATGATTCGCTACAGTGTTTTCTCTCACAAAAAATACACGTAAATCAAAAATAATTTTAATCTCATGATTCTAATCCATGAACCAAACGTCTCTTGAGTTAGCCAAAAGGTGGGTCACCGTATTGCCACTTCGAGCAATATGACGACAAAGACCGCCAGTAGCATAAAAACATCTGGATATCTTTAATAATAAAACAATCATGAATAGAACATTAGAGCCAGCATTATTGACTATGTTAGCATATGTTTCAGCAACAGCAACAGCGACAGAAACACCAACCTGGCGAGCTAAGTCCAAACCTTCTCGCAGTGCAAGCGTCTCTGCAACATGGGGCGTAAATCTTTCCATGAATTCTGTTAGCTAAACATGCCTGCACCACCCCTTGAGCATCTTGAATAACCACCCCAATCGCAATATAATCAGCCCCTTGTTTCACCGCCGCATCTGAGTTAAGTTTGAACTGACCATTTTCTGGCGGCATCTGTCGTCTAGGAGAAGGCTGACCTGCAGAAACAGAATAGCTAGTAGCTTTGGCACGAGAGTATAACCCATCAACAGCCTGCCAACCATATCAAGGACAGAGGTGCTATCCTTATTAATCTGTTGATAAACAAACAAGTTCCGAGACCACCAAATTCCCCACGCTAAAACACAAAACACCTCCAACTCCGACTTGGTTAAGTTTGTAGCAGCAAAAAAACAAAGCCCATCAAAACAAAAAACAACTATTCCTCCTGAGCTGAGGCCAAACAGCAGAGGTTTCCTATACATCTCGAGCGGCAGGACATTCCCATAACACATGCCAAACAGTCTCCTCAGCCTCTCCAAACCTCTCTTTACAGCAGAGCTTCGTTGTTTTGTTTTTTATTTTTCTTTTCTTTTCTGGGGCACGGAGATCTAACCTCTAAGCTCAGCAAGTAAGAGAAACAAAAAAAGAAAAAAAAAGTCGAAACATACTATTTATACCTTCCATCAATAACCACCAAACTTATAAACTCGAGATCAAGAGAAACATCCTCTAAGGATTGACTGCAATTTGTTCTCAAAAAGGAGAATTTATCATTTCCCATGCATAAAAGTACATAGGCAAGCAGATTGTAAGAGGAAAATGGGCTAAAGGAAATGAATAATTAGTTGGCACAAAAGATTGTTAATTCATTGCGTAGCCCCTTGCATAACCTTCCTGGGCAATGCAGCGTACATGGTCAAAACAAAGTTACAACAACAGGCTGTTATAGGACCATCAACAAAAAAACAAATGTCACCCAAACAACAGCCATTTCAGTACATCTCTTTCCCAGTTCCTCAACTGCCCTACGGAGAGGGAAACAAAGAAGAAGAAACCTCAGGACATCATTAGTTCAAAAGTTACATTTTTAACCAGGGAATTGAAGTTGCTAAGGTGTAACCAGAACAGCATTTCCAGCTATTATTGGCAGAAGGCTGGCTGCATTCTCCAGTCGTTGCCATGCTTCCTTCCGCTTCTCAGACGCCAAACTTAGCTTTGCTTCTTCTTCCTTAAATTGAGCGTGGCAGGACGCGAACAGCTCCTCCTCCATCTCAATAAATATCTTTCTAACATTTAGAGTTAAGTTGAGAACTGCTGGGTTCCAATGGTTCTGGGCATTCCTCTCTAGGGCCGGTAAAATTATGGGCAATAACTCGTGGCGGTTGTGTGCAATTAAGTTGACAACATGGTCATTGTTCCAAAAGAACAGAGCCCTTTCAGCCACCTGCAAGAAATAAATGACCAAATTAGCTATTTATTTCCAACTGATAAGCTTGGCAAGTCTTAAAACATCCTGAGGCAATCTACAAAACCAAACTACCCAAGAAGAATACGAACATCATTAAGAGAGAGAGAGTGAGGGCAAATTCATGCAAAATATGCACTTTTTTTAAGCGTCATTATGCACATAGAAAAGTACTCAAAGAAGCATAGTAAAGAGTTGTAGAGAGTCTACTGCTTTCAGCAAATTGGACAGAGCAAAGTACAGATGCTAACTTTGCCACCATAATAGTCTTTAATAAACAAAATAGGCTCCAGTTTCTGGTTCAAAGCACTAGGCAAAATCTGCCTGTATGGTAATATGCTACTTCAACAAACAAGCAGAAAAGTCTTTTGCAGCATGACTTATTAGAGTTTCAACTAGACAAATCTTTCTCCAATCTCCATTGGATGGAGAAACAACATTGAACATTTGAACTATTCAAGTGAAAAAACATTCACAGCAGCTTTTAAGCCCAAAAAAGAGCAAAAATAAAAAATAATAATACATAAAGGGGAGAAGATGTGGGATAAAAATACCTGAAAGTGGTAACTGTTAATGCAGCATCCGATCCGCCAAAACAAAGGAACCATGATCTTCTGGAATTCCACCATATTAACAGCTTCCAAAATCTCTTCCAACTCACCGAGGAGCAGCACCTCTTTCTGACTATTTGTCACTGGCCAATGCCTCAACAAGCCCTTTATCACAACGCTTGCCAACTTCGGCTCCTTCTCTATGAACTGCGTAATGCAATACGACAATTGCTGAAAGTAAACCCCCAAAGACTTGGGCCTGTGCAGAGGAACCAAAACCCTCCACAAGAATATCTTATGCTCCTCCTTCAAAGGTAACGCAAACCCACTAATTATACTCCCATAAATCTCCAACAATTCTGCAATCCCATTATGTTTTTCAGTCTCGAACACAAACCGATAGAAGACATTGTTTAGGGACTTCCTTATAAATGGCCTGTGAACCATGAACTTCCCATAAGCTCTATGAAGGATAGTCTTCAAACAGTCTCTCTCTCTGGGATCCTCAGAATCAAGCAAGTCTAGTAACCTCAAAATAAACGAATGGTCTATGTACTTTTTCGCTATCTTGGCATCTAGACATGAAGAAGTAACGAACTTAAGCAGTAATTCATACACAAGTTGCAAATGTGGCCAAGCAGGATCAAACATAGGCTCGTCATCATCGTTTTCACCACCGCCGCTCGAGCGACAATTGGGCGGAAAATCTCTAAAAAGATTAACAGCACACATTCTACACATTGCTAAAATCGCCGGCTCGGTAAATTTCATCGGCCTAGAGGCTACAAAGTCGACAAGTTCAAGCAATGTCTGTCGCTTAACGTCTTTCTCTACAGTGTTCTTATTCGGATCGGTGAAATCAAATGTCACGCAACAAAGGCTCACCTTGCTGACGAAGAGGTTCATCTTCTCCGCGTTCGGCACGTCCTTGAACGGCACCAACGGCTCGATTCCGGCTACCATGCTCGCCGGGAACACCACCGACGACATGCGCTTCGTCGAATTCGATCGGCTCGAGCCCGAATTCCCACCATTGGACTTGGAATTCTCGAGGCCGGAGCCCGAGGAGCCAGCCCTAGAGTTCGACTGCGACCGCGGCGAGCTCGAGCGAGGCGACTCGGACTTCGACGACTTCCGAGGAAGTTTACTGAGAATTTGCTTGAACATGATGGCGATGACGACGACGGATACCGATCAAAGACAAAGAGAGGCCTAGATCGAAGCCATAGGGGTCAATGGGGGTAATCACAGCACAGGAAAACCCTAACCTAGATCTCGGACATGGATCTGGGTTGATGAGCGGATCGAGGTCAGTCAATGCGCGAGATCCATGGGATGGGAACTTGAGAATCACCGAAAGCTCTGAAATTGCATTGGATATTGATGAAAAACATCTCTTGGCAATGTCGGTTTCGCCGATGTTCGAGGACGTACGAGGAAAATTAAGCTCCGATCCTAATTCAGCTTGGGAAATTTGAAACCCCCAAATTGACGAAGAAGAAGGACCAAAAACCAAGCTTTGATCCGAAAATTTACACCTGAAAACGTAAATTTCCCAAAAATAAACGAACACTTCGAAGGGAAAAAGAAGCAAAGACAGGTATATATATTTATAGATATAGTATATATAAATACATGTATAGATACACACAAAGGCGAGCGAGAGAGAGAGAGAGAGAGAGAGAGAGAGAGAGAAGAGGATATTGGAGCTGAAAACAAGCAAATTTTGGGGGGTTTTGAAAGATGGAGATCTAAAGAGAACTTATAAAGTATTGTAAGAGGATCAAAGTTTTTTATTTTTATTTTTTGTCAAAGAAAATATAATTTTGGATGATGATCTAAATAAAAGATTAATCTTTTGCAACCTTCATGAAGAGAATGTGATACATGGAAGGAAGCTTAGGCTTTTATTTTCTTTTCTGGGTTGCTTTCCTCGGTGGATGAGAAAATTTTGGCGTTTTCTCGGAAAATGCAGGGTTCTTCGGAGTGTTTTTCTTTAAAACTTTTTTGAAAAGAATCCTCGGGTTTAATTTATTGGAGAAAAAAAATCTATTTTTATGAAAGAGAACGGAAAAAAAGGATATTTTCTAATACTGGTGGTGGGTAGGTTTGATTTTTATAATTGTTAGACTTATATATTTTTTAATTTTTACGTAATTTTATATAAATTTAATAATTTAAAATTTGATCAGTCGATATTTTAATATATTAGAGAAATTTTTTTTTTAAAAAAAGAAAAAAATTGCTTTGTTTAAAGTTTAAACTGTCCACTGATGTGATTTTTGTTTAAAAAAATGAATTATTTAAAAAAAAGTCTAGAAAATTATTAAATTCAAGTTCATAAGTTTAGATTTTTAATTTTTACTCTTAATAAGTAACATTTTAACTAATATAGGATACTTTGGTATCATTATAATATACTATATAACATATTTCTTAGATACATTTGAAGTATATAGCATATTTTTAAAATGTAAGTAAATAATAGCATGTTTTAAATTCTAATTCTAAAAATAAATGCTTTTTCCCAAACTTACCCTTCCATTAGGGTTTTCATTTTTTCTTTCGGAGCAAAAAAGTCAGCCACCCCTATTTCTCTTTCTGTTTCAATCTTTTTTTCTCTCTAGGGACCCGTTTAGTTCGCTAATTTAAATTTTTAATTCGAGTTAAGATGTGAGTTTATGTGAGAGTTTTTTACTGTAGTAAAAAAGTTAGATGTGACTGTTTCTGATAGCTTTTTATTGTAAAAAATCTCAAATTCTAAACTCAAATCGGTGAAATGAACGAGGCCTAACACTCTCCCGATTCCCTCTCTCTATCCTCTTTTTCTCTCTCTGCCTCTCCCGCTTTCCTCATCGCCGCCCAAATATGACATCGAACCAAAGCTCCCCTTCACGTTTTTAGTTCACTTCGCAACGTTGTCGTTAGACATCGTTATCTCCCCTTGCTGCTAAAACCTGCAACTCTCTGGTTGCCGCAATCACGAATCGGCTCAGTTACCGCCGTAAACCGGGCTTCTCGTTAAAGATGCATATAGACCAGATCATCACAGATTGACCAGATCAGTCGCGGCCACCTCGGCCGTTGCTTGCTCTATCTCTTTCCGATCTCTCTCTCTCTTCTCCGCACGTCTCTCTCTCCTCGAACATATCTCAATCGTGACTCGAGCGACGGGGAAATCTGACGGAGATCGTCGATTCGATATTTGTACTAGCCTTTTTCTCTAGTTGTTCCTCTGCTCGCATCACGACGCCGGTGACCCCTAGCCTACTCCAATCGCTGCTTTGGTCACGTCACAACGCCGGCGACCTCTAGCCATCTTTTCTAGCCGCTGCTTTGCTCCCGATCAAGGACGTTTGGTTTGTTAAATGTATTTATGTAATATTGTTTAGAAAATAAATGTAAATATATTTATTCACATTATTTTGTATATTTTGTGTTCATTATTTCGAGACTTTTGTATGAGTTTGTGAGTTTTGGATATGAATTTGTTATTTCATGTTTTTTGTTCTTTTTTTGTCGTGATTTGGTTACCAATGATAGTTTTCGGTCAAGTCTGAGTCTGATTTTGAATTTTGAATACGGTAAATATTATATTTTTTAATAAATACTTCATTGAATTTAAGTTTGAATATAGTAAATGCAGTATTTATCAGTAAATATTTCACTGAATTTTATTTCAAAATTGGTAAATATTATATTTACCATTAAATATTTCACTTAATCTAATTCTTGATTTGGTAAATGATATATTTACCAGTTGTCAAAGCTAGTCTTCAGATTTTTAGATAAATATAGTAAATATGGTATTTATTGGTGATTACAGTATTCAGTGGTCAGATTTTCGGATAAATATAATATTTATCAGTAAATATATTTATCGGTAAATACGGTATTTATCAGTTGCTATCTTTCTAGATAAATATGGTAAATATGATATTTATCAGTAAATACAGTGTTAAACAGTCGCTGGAGTCGGTGCCTGAATTTTCAGATAAATATGATATTTACAAGTAAATACGGTATTTACCGATAAATACAGTATTAAATGGTCACCTGAGTTGGTGGCTGAATTTTTAGATAAATATGATATTTACTAGTAAATGCAGTATTTATTAGTAAATACGGTATTTACTTGTAAATATAGCGTTAATCAGTCACCGAAGTTGGTGGTCAACTTTTCTGATAAATATGGTATTTACTAGTAAGTACGATATCAAAAGGTAAATACGGTATTTACCGATAAATACAATGTTAAACGGTCGTTCGAAAACAGTCACTGAAAAACGGTCACTGGTCGCTGAAAAAGAGTTGTCGGTTGCCGGAGTCAGCTGTCGGCGCTAGTCTCGATCATGGTGGACTTGACTATAATTTACATATTTTAAAAAATATGCTATAATGTACTATTTTAATATATATATATATATATGTTTAGGGGGAGTGAGGTGGAAAAAGAGGTTTAAGGGTATTTTTGAGTTTTAACAATATTTAAAACTTAAAATATTAAATTATGCTATAATTTATTATTTTTTTAAAATATGTTATAATTTATTAATCACTTTACCAATTATGTTATTCTTTAATTAAATGGTTTTTTGTTTTTCAAACAAAAAAGTGAAAACTTATTTTGAAAACGTGTTTGGTAAACTTGTTTATGTTTTTTTTTTTATTTTTTTAAATTTGTTATCAAATTTTGAAAAATTTGTTGATTTCAAAAATTTTTTAAACAAAAATCTTATGTTGTGGTCATTATTAAAACTAAAGTCATGAAGTGGTGTTAGGACCGGTGTCGGGGTTCGATCAACGAATAAAATAAATGTTAATATAGGGATTGATTAAGCCAATGTGTAGCGACCTAAGATAGTGTAATGACTGAGAAAATCTCAGACCTTAAATAATACAATTTATGTATTTAAGCCAAGGATTTTCTTAGAAAAATATTATGTGGCTGAAGGATTTATGAAATTAATATCTGTATTCCTAAATCATGTAGTAGATTTCATGTTAAGTTCATGTTTTTGATCGATAAATTCTCGCCGTACTTTAAGGCAGAATAATTTTCAGTACAAGTATAGTTTGAGAATCTTAGAGGACGTTTGGTTGGAGAATTCAAACTATGTGATTCGAACCATTTTTGATTTACGTGAATTTTTTGTGAGAAAAAATATTGTAGCGAACTATGAATCATAATTCAAATTAGGGAACGAATCCCTCTACCAAACATCCTCTTAATTTCAAGAATCTCTAAACACAGCACGATGTTAGCAACGTATAAAAAACGCACTGACATTTTAAAGAAGAGAAAATCCTTAATTGCCAGACAGCTAGGTTAAAGTCACAAGATAAATACCCATAGTGGAAGGGTACAATGTGAGCTCGGGAGTTGACACCGTCAGAAACAACGTCATTCCCGGGATTTAATGCAGAAAAGTTAAATTTAGAATTTGTTCAGTCTAGAATTAATTTCAAGACCTGAAACAGTTCAAGATATTACGCGAGTAAGAATTTAATGTAATGTCGAAGTAGTCGGGAATTAATATTAAACTGTAAATAAGCAGTAGAAAAAGACCCTCGGAAACTAAAATTTCCTCGGCTAAGTTACTTACGTACAGTCAGTATAATTTTTAGCAGTTGCAAGAGAAACTTAAGAGAGTGGACAAAAGTACAAGGGGTAGGATTTATTTGTCTCTCTCCCATTCTCCACTTGGCCGGCCATGTATAGTGGAAATAGAGCCAAAATTTGGCTAGTTGAGTATGCTAGAAGGTTACATGTTAAGGTGATGTGATGGTAGTGGTTGAAGGGGAATTAATGGCAAATTTGCTTCTCCTTTTCTCCTTCCATAACCGGCCAAGAAAGGGGGAATTGAACCAAAATTTAGTTGATTGAGGGAGTTGATGTGGTGTTAAAAAAAATAATTTCCAACTTGCCTATAAAAGGAACCATCATAGGATAAGCCTCATTTTTTTTCTCCTAGCTTTTTCCCACGCTCAAAATCTAGCCACACCCTCCATTCTCTCTCAAATATTTTCTCCCACTCTCCCAATCTTGAACCACTAGCAAACCATAAAAGAAGAAGAAAAAGATCAAGGGATTCTAGGAGGAGACTAGTCAAGCATTCCTCCAAGGGTAAAGAAACTCTAAATCTCCTCTTTTTTCATGTTTTAGTAAAGTTTGAAATGTAGAAATATTCCTCTTAAATTTCCTTATACTTTCTAGTTCCAAGCTATTAACAAATCTTAGAGGAGTTCAAAGGTTTTCAAGAGAGAGAGATAGAGAGTTCTTCAAGGGTCAGTTCTCAAACTCTTCTCCATTAATTTCTAGCCAACTTTAAGTTTGGATTTATGGATGTAAATTTGTGGTTCTTGAGGAAGATGTGTTGTAATAAGGGTGTGTGAGTTTTATGTTGGTTTTGTGAGTTTGAGGTTAGTTTGATTAGTAATATGTGGTATGTTTATACTTGGTTTAAGTTGCTTATTTTCGGTTGAAGGACAAATTTTCCGGTTACTTTGAACGCGAAAATAAGGACCCTAGAGCGAGATTTTTCAATATTTCTAAGTTCGAACTCATAGATCTCGATGTTTTGAACGTTTTCTGTGACTATTACAAAACCCAATTTTAACTCTAAAAGTGAGTTTGAAGCCAGTTTCCAAAAACGGACTGGCTGCCTAACACAGTTTCAGAAAAGAAAAAAAAAAGATTGCTGCTGGAATCCTACAACATTTTAAAAGAGATTGCTGCAGCAATCCTAAAACTGTTTTAAAAGATTGCTACATCAATATTAAAAGATTGCTACAACAATCCTATAGCATTTTTAAAAAGATTGCTACAGCAATCCTATAACATTTTTAAAAAGATTGCTACAGCCTTATTAAAAGATTGCTACAACATTGCTACATCAAAAGAAAAAAAATAGCAGCCACTGTTCTCAGCCAAACGAGGCCTTTAGAGGCTGAATTTCAACTTTATCCAAAAATGACAATTTTAGA